CAGGTACCAGTGGGGTACATCAGAGAACAATGGACAGACTGGGGTTCTGGACATCCTTGGACCCTTGAAGAAGGCCTTTTTGCTTCATTTGAGTGACATTGGGGTAGTCATGGAGCAACGTGGACATGGCCTCCCATGGAGTGGTTCTGCTTCAGGGTTTGGTCTCTCAGGACCACTCCTCATAGGAGCCTCTATGGTCCTGGGAAGTTCAAGGTGCTGGGTGAGCAGGGTCAGTATTGTCCTTTGGAAACTAAACCTATGTGTAGCACCCAGTTAGATGAGTCACTCAGTTGTCTCTCTTTACTGCCAGTGATTTCAGAACCAGGTGAGCTCTGCAGCTACAGTAGAATTGAGAATTTGAAAGAAGGAAAAACATGAGTTGGGAAATGCATTAATGTCGTGGTTAGCAGGTTGAGAATAGCAAGAAGGTGTTAGAAAGTCCTAGGGAGGGGCAGGCATTCATTAAGCCCCTGCTGGTGGTTTTCCCATCAAGGACCTCAGCTGCTACTCTCAATAGCCAAGTGAGGCTGGGGGTGATGGCCCTTTACAAAGGAGTCAGACTAGACTTGGATGAGGTGACGTGCTGCAGGCCCAGCTAATGTGACATAGGCCCCCAATTCAAACTGCAGTCTTTTGCTGTACTATGCAGATAATTTGTACTCATTTCTAAAGCATCAGGCCAACTCAGGCAAGATTTTGAAGGATGTTTGTGTGGAAGGGAAATAATGGGCTTATAATCTGAAATCCAGAAAGAAAAACTAAAGCCAGAATCTAGCAAATAGATCAATCAAAAGCTAGTTTCAGGATTGGTGTGTAAAGGTGATTGGGGAAGCAAAACAGCATTGTGAGTGATTGACATCCATTGGGTCACCACACTGCACAACTGTCCCTAACAAGCTTTTAGCAGAAGGGCTTAGGATTGCCTCTCTGTTAGAAGCGAGTATGCTACAGGGTGGAGAAAAAGGGACTGTATTTTGCTGCGTAGAGATGCAGCTTGGGGACTTGGCTTGTATAGGAATTTCTAGCAAGACGCATGATGTGAAAGGGGCCCCAGGTCATGTGTGCAGATCCCAGGTGCGGGCGTTGGGCTTTTTCTGCAGTCCTAAACAACTTCCATTTGAGGGTCCAGAATGCTCAAGTGGCCTGAAGAACGTCAACCTCAGTTTTTTCAAAAGGTTTCAGTCTTAAATGGCCTCCACCAGACTTGAGTCTAGCGCAACTAGATGGTGCCCGGCTACCACCCACAACTGCTCTGACAGGGATCACAATAGAGGGCCCTCGACAGAGCTGGAGAAAAACGTAGAACAAAATTGTAACCCACAAAAAAAAAAACAAAAAGAAACAAACCAGACTTACTGGTCTGACAGAGACTGGAGAAACCCCGGGAGTATGGCCCCAGACACCCTTATAGCTCAGTAATGAAGTCACTCCTGAGGTTCACCTTTCAGCCAAAGATTAGACAGGCCCAAGACTAAATAGGCACACCAGCCTAGAGGCAAGGATAAGAAGGCAGGAGGGGACAGGAAAGCTGGTAATGGGGAACCCAAAATCAAGAAGGGGAGAGTGTTGACATGTTATGGGGTTGGCAGCCAATGTCACAAGATAATATGTGTATTAATTGTTTAATGAGAAACTAGTTTACTTTGTAAAGCTTCATGTAAAGTACAATAAAAATTTTTTAAAAAAGGTTTTAATCTTAAAACATCTCCAGGAGTAAACAAAACGTACAAGGCCTAGATAAAGGAAACTTTAAAATACCATGAAGGACACAGAAGAAGACTTGAACAAATGGAAAGATATACCAAGTTCTTCAGCAGCAACAATCAACGTCATAAAACTCTAGTCCTCAGTTAAATGAAAATTTAATGCCATCCCAATAAAACATATCAATAGGGTTTCAAAAGCAAGACAAAACTAAAATTCATGTAGGGGGAAAATAAAAGCTAGAAGATGCTAGAGGGAAAAAAAGAAACGGGGTGTTTAGTCCTAGAAAACACTAAAATATAAAATTGTAATTATGAAATCTGTATAATTTTAGTGCGTGAATGCGTAGATAGGCCAATAGAACAGAATAGGAACTCTAGAAATAGACTCAAAATATATATGAGAATTTAGTATGGCAAATGTGTCATTCAGAACCAGTAAGGAAAAGATGGATGCTTCAGTAAATAGTGTTGGAACAACTGGGGAACCATCTGGAAAAAGTAAAGTTGGCTCTATACCTCACGCCATAAGCCAATATATATTTCAAAATGGATAAAGATGTAAATGTGAAAAAAAAGATGAAATCATAAAAACACTAGAAGGAAATGTGAGAGGATTCCTTTAAACTCCTGTGGGTAGGGAAGGCTTTTCTAACTTGTACCCCAAATTGAGGAGCCGTAAATGAAAACTGTAAAAAAAAAA